GAGTGCGCGTGAGACGTGAGCGCGCGTGCGCGGGGGTGCGTGTGAGTCTCTCTCTAAAGTGTCGGGATGTGTACGGTCCAGACGCAGCCGCCGATCGCGATGTGGGCCAGGGCCTCGCTGCACTAGGCGCTCGTCAGCCCCTTCACCTCGATGAGCAGCCTCGGCAAGACGCACGCCCTGAGCCTCACTCGCAGAAGCAGCGTGACCCTCACACTCACCCCTACCCTCACCCTCACCCTCACCCCCACTCCCCACCCCCACCCTCACCCTCACCCTCGCCCTCACCCTCACCCTCACCCTCATCCTCACCCCGTTCCTAGCCCTAAATCCTAGCACTATTGTTAACCCCAATCCTAACCCCATCCCGTCGTGCCCCGAGGTGCTGCGGCGCGTCCGCAGCATGCAGCAAGCCGTCATTGACTTTTGACGGAGGCGCACGGCATGGGGAAGGGGTAGGCTGCTGCGACAGCGGTGGCAGCGAGCGGAGGAATGAGAGAGGAATGTGGCGCGCGATAATAGAGCGGGGCAGGGCGGTGGGAGTGGGCGGGGCGGCATCGATGCCGGCTCCAAAGCTGTGTGCAAGAGTGGTAACTATTTGTCGCGTGTTGGGCTCGGATGGAGGGTGTTTGTAGGCAGGGGCCAGGGCTAGCTGCGGTCCGGCGCAGCAGAGTTTTTGCGCGATCTCCAGGTGAGTGCGCGGGCCGCGGGCCAGTCCAGCGGGGACACACGTGACATATGCTGCTCTACCTCACCCAAGCCGCCGCCTGGATCACCGCGCCGCCGCCGCTGGACTCCGTTCATTCCGAGCGGCTCGGCCGGGCTCCTCCTCCGCGGCTGGCGGCAGAGGAGGCAGTAAGATTGACGGGCGACGAAGCAGCAGACCGGATGATACTGCAGCGGCTCGCTGCGACCGGGTCGGCCGGGCGGGCCAAGCTGCGACGCGACGAGCTTCCCGTGGCGGCAGGCCGCTCCCTCGCCGACCTCGCCCTCGGCAAGACCGTCGAGTGGAAGCGCGCGGTCAACAAGGCGCGCAGCGACGCGGTGACGGCGGTGCGCGTGAGGCACATCGTCGTGGACTCGCGCGAGATGGCGGAGACGCTGAGCGAGCAGCTGCGCGGCGGCGGCGCGCGGTTCGACGAACTCGCCCGCCTCTCGACCTGCGCGGTGACGCGAGACAAGGGTGGCGAGGTTGGCTGGAGCGGGATCGAGGACGAGCACCTCGACGAGTACTTTCCGAGAAACTTGCGCGAGGCGGCGATGGCGACCAAGCCGGGCGACGCCTTCCTCGGCGAGACGCCGCTCGGCTGGCACGTCGTCCAGGTGGTGGACGTCTTTCAGACCCTCATGATCGACTCAAACCCGCGCACAAAGGGGCTGCCCGGCACTGGCCTCTCTCCGCAGCCGCTGATCCGGCTGCTGCGCGCCTCGCGCGAGGACGCGCGCAGCTTCCGGCAGCTGACGGCCGGCGAGGGCGGCGGCGGCGAGGGCGGCGGCGGCGAGGGCGGCGGCGGCGAGGGCGGCGGCGGCGGGGGCGGCGAGGGCGCGGAGGCGAGCGGCGAGCTGAGGCGCAACTCTGGGCGCGGGCGCGGCGCGCAGCTGCGGTATGCGACATTTCCGAGACACGTCCCCCCTCACCGCACTGACTGTCTCCACCGCCCTTGGGTGGCTCACCCGCCTCCTGGGGACGCGTCGCGACGCGTCCGCAAGGTACTCGATGGACTCGATGGGCTGCCAGATGAACACGGCGGACGCGGAGCGGATGGAGGGGCAGCTGCGCTCGCTCGGCTTTGCGCGGGCGGAGGAGGGCACGCCGGCGCAGGTGAAGTGCAGTGTCAGTCCTCTCGGCTCATCTCGGGTCATGTCGGGTCATGTCGGGTGTCGGCTCGTCCTCTCGGGTCACCTCGGGCCCTCCCTCCCCTCCCCCCGACCGCAGGTGGTTGTGCTCAACACGTGCTCCATCCGCGAGCACGCCGAGGCAAAGGTCTACTCGTACCTCGGCCCGCACGCGGTGCTCCTCCCTCCCCGCACCCTCTCCGCTCCCCGCACCCTCTCCCTCCCCGCACCCTCTCCCTCCCCGCACCCTCTCCCTCCCCGCACCCTCTCCCTCCCCGCACCCTCTCCCTCCCCGCACCCTCTCCCTCCCCGCACCCTCCCCTCACTCTGCCGCAGCCCACCAACTGGCGTTTTCACGGCTTCTCTCCAGACTGCTTTCCCTCTCCGGAGCCTTCTCGCAACGCTGGCAACCTTCTCGCAGCCTCCGGCGAGCCTCCCCACAGGCGCGCAAGCGCGCGGGCGAGGACCTTGCGATCGT